TGAAGAATTTTCAATTTGACAGAATGTGGTATACTGATGTCAACAAGACAGGAGATGTAAGAAATAGACTGACCTAATTTTAAAGTTAGGCCATATGTTCAAGTTTGATTGGAGGTGCCTGTGCACTCTCCTGACACCCAGAGATGTGCATAACTTCTTTGCCAATACAGGAAACTACGTAGATCCTCTTTCTATAATCCTCTGAAAAACAAGAGCTTAACATGAGTCATTGGAAACCGATCCTCAGAAGAACTGGGTTTGGAGCATGTGATTTACTGAGAGAGTTCTCTTAGCTGCAGGACCATGAGAGAAGTAGGAAAGGGCAGGGGGAGGGGTGAGAATCTAAGGCAGTCAGAAACCACTTTTACCATGATTCCTGGAGAGGCTTTGGAATCGGATATTCATAGTGAAGTGGGTCAATCTTTAGACAAGGTATCCTTGTACCTTGAATCCTAACCACCAGGAAACCATTAGGCACAGGTGTCAAAGTTGTGTACAGGGTGGCATCGTAGTAGAGCAATCTTAGAGGCAGGGAAGCTCTTCTGTGGGGTGCAGTTCTCCATAGAAAGGCGAAGAGTTAGCAGTCAACAGCCACAGCTACTGGAGGATGAACCTATGTATTTTGAAAAAAAACCTGAAGTGTTCATCAACAAAGTATGTTTGTTACAGTACAGAATCATGATACACATGTCATGATATAGGAGCTGTCTTTAAGAATCATGCCCGAAACACACTACAGAAAGCAATGAAGACCATGAATGCATAAATTACATATTTGAATTGAAAAGTAGTTCATGAGGGGCTGTAGAGATGATTCAGTGGTTAAAAGCACATGCTGCTCTTGCAGAGGACCCGGGTTTGATTCCCAGCACCCACATGGCAGGTAACAACCATCCGAAACTCCAGTTCCAAGGGACGTGACACCCTCTTCTGACCTCTGCGGGCAATGCACAACATGGGTGCACTTACATCATGCAGGCAATACACGCATACACACAAAATAAAAATAATTAAAAGAAAAGTAAGTCATGATTACAACTAGAGATACTAGGAATACTAGGAACATCTTCTCCCCTAACATACACATTTTGCTAAGCAGGAACATCTGTTACTGAACTCTGTGATCATGACAAGATGTCCAGAAGTGAAGAACTGTGTTGGTTAGGGAAATTAAAGGAAGATGAAGACTCTGGGGTTGAAGATGAATAGAGCAGTGATGATTCAGTCTTTTATGTTTGAAACTCAGTCATCAGACTCCTCACTTTTATACTTCGTCTGACTTTAAAGGCATCTTACTCTGCTTGTGTTCCCACTGCCAAACACTTTTTCTTTTCTTTCTCTTCTCTTTTTTCTTTCTTTTTTGCAGACAGGGTCTCACTGTGTAGCCCTGGCTGAGGTGGACCTCACTATGTAGGCCAGACTAGCCTTGAACTCATAGACATCCACCTGCCTCTGCCTCCCCAGTGCTAACATTAAGGGAATGTGCCACTATGCCTGGCCTTTCTTAAATTCTGTAACTGGAATTCTACCAAAGCTAGAAATAACAGAGAATATTGTGTGAAAAGGCCTCCCATGTTATCCCCTTTTTTCACCCTTTTCTAAAATTAGCCATTTCAAGTAGAGGACCAAGGCCTGATATGTGTGCTGTTGTTGGATATTGGTGGGGGAGATGACAAATTTAGTTATCTGCAATTCAAACTCAGATACTTCTTTGGATGTTCAGGAAAATGGGCGCTGAAGTACCTAGAGGTAGTGAGAACAGGGCAGTG